AGATATTAATTAAATTATAAATATATCAATTCATGTGAATATGACTGAAAAAGTTTCATTTTTTTCTGAAAAGGTGGTGTTTATTTACTAGTGACCACGCTGTGTATATTATTTCTTCCAACTTAAATATCCTCAAATCTTTACTTGACTCGAAGTTCTGGATTATTTCTACATTGTTATCGATAGAAATGTTCAATTACTTTAACTAATCGCTGGCGTGAAGATTTGAGATCATTAGGCGAGGCGTTACTGGATCCAAAAACGGGTTAGTTAATACACAGGATAAGTATTGTGACTTTAAAAGATTCTAGATGAAATAGATTAAGAGGTTTGTAATTCTTTAGCGTCTCTGAGTATTTTGGCACAACGTAAATTTATCTTGAATTAAGAATACAATTATATTTAACTGTTGCGAGCTTTTGGCGAAATATTTATACATCAACGTCTCCTACGTTACTTTGATTCCATAGGGATAACATTACAAGTTTTCGGAATTTGAAAGAATTTGGAGATTAGATTCACTGGTCTTGGGTCAACAGTAGGAAATCAATATTCATTTCAGATTTTTATGAACATATGGAATCTAAACATAACTTGGTTTTGTAATTATGTATTGAACTGGAGAGCGGATCCAAGATTTTTGCTAAGAAAATGGGAGTGGAAGGTTGTTCTTCCACCAAGTCTTGAAAACTTTTGAAAAAAGATTCAGGTTTCAGAGACACCTTAGGCTGTGAAAAGACTGTATTTGTCAGCAGTGTCAGTGATTTTATTTGAGTCAATCAGGAACAATAAACTGTTAACCCAAACTAATCGTTTGGTAGTCTTTCGGAAAGGGGGAAGTGATCCGCCCTTAGAATTAGAAAGAAATATATAGTATTTTTCTAATAAAAGACAATGAAGAATTTTCGAATATTTTTAGTGACTAAGACTCGCTTAGTATCACGACCAATTGAAATTTGATATATATATCATTTGGTGGATATACTTTTTTAGCTCTTCATATGAAAACTTGTAAATGCTTACCGAAGCTTCATGTGAAAAGGAATTAAGCTTCATGTTTTTACTTCATTTACTTTTACAAGATGGTAAGTGTAAAGCTCAGTTCTCCCTTTTCTAACTCACACTGAATGTTACGAAAACGTTTAAATATGTTTATTTATCTTTCAATTGTTTGAAAATAAATTCACCACAAGATGACAGCACAGTCCTTGAATTGTTGGTCGTATTTGTTAACATATAGAAACAGATACTATCTACTGACTACAAAAATCTTAAGCTAAGGCTCATCCTCTTTCTTTATAGTTTTAACCAGTGGCGCAGTTTGTATTGTTATAACTTTTATGAGTAAAACATGAATAATTTATTTACTTATTTAAGTAATAAACGAAATAGTGAAGATTTACATTCTCCTGTTCGTTTTTCTTTGGATGATTTTATCTACCCTTATAATACTATACACATTTATAAATAAAATAAGGGTTTATTTTGTATTTATATTTCAAACTAATTTCAATTTATACAAATGGAGTAATTATGTCTTAAGAGACTGTGTAAACTAAACATCCAATGACGTAATGATCTACGCAATTATAGATATGTGAAAGTACATCAGACTAAAAGTGATTAATGAAAATGTATTCATTGATAAAGATCAGCATAAACTTTACAATTTTTGTGAACATTTGGTCAACCTGTTTTCTCATCAGTTTTAGTGTTTTTAATACAAACTGTGAACACTATATTTCTCTAATACAGAGGTTCCCAAACTATTGTCTGTAGAACTCTGGTGGTTCGCGAGCTCCCTTCAGGGGGTTCGCAAAAAGTTAAAAAAAATTTCATTATCACGGAAAGTAAGAGCTTGTAAATCGAGAGTAAACATGACAATTGGAACCTGGGAAATTCAGCTAAACAATCAGGAAGAATATGTAAAAATTAAGTGGAAAAGTCTAAAACTCTCTGTTATATGGGTTTTGCAAACAAAGCAGTTCGTTTTCTGATTCCATTTTTTACTACGTACCCGTGTGAGACGGGGTTAACATCAATATTATAATGGTTTTTATGCGCTTATTCTGTTTTGTTAAATTATACAATTATTATATGGTTCGCAGCTCTCACTCTCTTAAAAAATCAAGTGGTCTGTGAAGAAAAACGTTTGGGAATCACTGCTCTATGTGGTAGTTTCACCAAATATATTTTTAACAACCAATTTGTGCTATTTGTGTCTTCGTTGGTGAATGTCATAACTTCTTCAACTCAACACAAATGAAATAAAATGTGCAAAACCTCTTTGGTACTCTTGAAAGTGCACAGTATGTGTATATGAATTGTTAATATTTTTTACAAAGTATTTGACATAAAAATATTAAATCCTATTGTTTAGACATGCAATAATGTAAATTACTTAAACAATTTCTTTCCTTTTAAATAATCTGCTATAAACGAATATGATGTTTTTTATGTTAATAGTAGATAATAAAAACCAATAAAACCACCATACTTGTATTCTGGGACAGGGAAACCTTGTGCGGCACAAGGCAGCTCTACAAATTCTCCTTCTTTAGCAGTAACTACATGAGTACTGTCTGTAATTCTAGGAGTAATACTAGCCTGGTGTTCTGAAAGTGAGAAAAACGTGACAATATTAATAAGAACTACACGCTAATCTGTATTATCAAATACAAGTTATGCTGTTCTTGTAATGCAGAAGATTGAGTACGTTGTATTAAAACAATTTTGAATATGCAAGTCAGCAAACCAGGTGACAATCACAGCTGATACAAACTCGCAGTGGAACAGATTTTTCAAAACTACGTTTTGACATCGTTTGAAGTTTCGTAGATAGTGTGATGCCACCAAAAATTGATCACTTTTTGGGCGGTACGTGTTATCTTGTTCTGACGCAAAATATTCACACACTCATATCATAAAGATATGTTCAGATAAGGTTTAGAAGTTCCGAGACGGAATATACCTTGTACTTAACGACATTGGAGAACAAAGGAATAAGGATCAGCTTGGGGTACCAGGAACATACAAAGAAAGTCATACAACAAATCGCACCCTCGTTGTGGTAAGCAAAGTGCGTCGTTTTCTAACAGGTGAGAATCCACGAACACACAGTTTAATGGCAAAAGCCGTTCACATGCCTTAGGCAACATAATCAAAAAGGATCTCCATCTGAAAAAGGATACAAGTCGCATGTACACAACTTGCTTGAAAAATGAAACAGGTATTCATGGTATTCTGTATACATAGACAAACCGATAGAGTTACCATATAGATTTATGTGCGATTGGACTGTTAAAATAAGCGAGGGGAGGCTGTTGACCTCGTACACTATACATATTGCCTGACGAAAAAGCCTTTTGTAAGGGAAAGTACGCTGCAGGACTAATGTCAATATATGAGGTCGCCATATGGAACATGAATACACGTTTGACACGTTTTAATATAACGTACTCAACATCTGTATTTACTCATTTTAGCAATATTATTTTGAAGAGTCACAGAGTTTGATGAAACTAAATACTCTTTTTTCCATATGGATTACAGTATTTATTAAACACGTAAAGTTGACTGTAATATTGAGTTGGTTATAAATGAAGTTATAATAATGAACTTAGTCCCATGCTACTTATTTTAAGTCTTAAATCATAAAACCAAGTGAAGTACATAAAACTGTTTAAAACAATACTAAGCACATCGGCTTTTTTAAGTTTTATTATATATTTATTTTTTTACATGACAACTTTATTCTAACTCTTTACATATTTGTAAAACACTTTTGTATTGACTGTGTATTTATAAGATTTCATTTGCAATTCAACAATTAGTTATATTAGCCAAAGTTTACAAAAAAAAGTTGTGACTTGTTCTTTAGTTCACCGGAGTGTGAGCGGTAAGTTTCCGCGATAGAAAGAGTGCCCACTGTGTAGCTTTGCGCTAAAGAAACAACTGTTCTTTATGAACCCTGATTTTGTGAAACATGGATACTAGTAAGTTCTGATTCAAAGTAAGCTAACTACGTAAATCAGAACTAAAAAAAATGTAACTTATTGACTGATGAAGTCAATCATGTATTACATAGTCACAAGAAGTATAATATAATGTCATAAATCAATGCGCAAGAAAACTAAAATCAAAATTTGCATTGTTGTTTGAAGTAGAAATTTAACTCATCAAATGTAATGTATGTACTACTACTCCTTAGATTCTGACGAACAGCCTGCTGCTTCTAATAGAAATTTTTTGCTCTCAAGATGCAAACTTAGAGTTAGGCTTTGGACGTTTAGCATGGTATGTCTGGTAGCATGTTTATTTCTTTTTTAATGTAGGTAAAAAACAATGTTTGCGGACTTACAACGCTAGA